CCTTCACTGAAAGTTCAACACATATTTAATGAGTGTCCAACACAAAGCTGACACTAACTTCTCCATTCTTTTTCCCCAGTCCATTTCTGTACTTGAACTCTTAAATATTCCACCTTATCCTGTAGCATGATTTTTCTCTCTAGATTTTAGAAAGCAAAGGGCCTTATAAAACTGTGTAGGGTTCGAGTTGGTACCCCAGCAGCCTCTGGGTCTTTTCTGACTTTTCTCCTTGCCCATAGACTCACCCAAGGGGCAGATGTATCTGTCCCCTACCCCCAGCCAATGGCAGATGGATCTGAGCATGCTCAGTAGGATCGAGGGGGGGTACCATCACCCAGTTGGGGATTCAAAGCCCTTGAGAGGTAGCCCCCAAGGAAAGACGAAGGCTTTAAATTGTTATTGTGTGTCTTCTCTCCGTGGGTTGCATGGAGATCAAAGTCTGAAGGAAGTAGAAGGTTGCTCTCTGACAAAAACACCATATTTTTAGAAGCGCTTGGTGGTTTAGGATGTTTGCCCCAGTGCCGCCTTTCAGTGGCAGGGGGTGGGGCTGGGGGTGGAGGCCGAGGGATGAGACCTCAGCTGAGGGTTGGTGGGAGTGGGCTTCCTGGCAGCAGAGGGCCTGAGGGTGGAGGCTGAGCGGACACTCCATCATCATCACCACTTCTCTTTCCTGAAGAGCCCCAGGCCTGGTACTTGGGGGGCAGACAGGCAAGGGGGTGCCTGTGAGGTCTCTGACTCCATCTCCTTTCAAAGATGGGAGCACTGAAGCCGAGAAAAGGAGCAGAGAATTGGCTAATTTCCACCTCCCCACTCCCTCCACGCTTCCCTGTCTGGGGAATCTGGGACGGGCACACATGAAACCGTTAAAGAACAATGCATGCATTCTGTAATCAGTGCTAATTGGTGTGGTTCAGAGGAGCGGGGAGCAATGGCAGGCATTTGGGGGCAGGACATCAGTGGTCTGTTGAACCGACTGCTCACTAATAGCCCATGGGGAATTGGAATAGCTCCCGGGGTCTGGGAAGGTAAACTGTGGGTAGGTGAGAGGATAACCTCACAGCCGTGGGCAAAAGCTGGGAGGTGGAAACTCACTGGGCCTGAACATGGGGAATGATGGGAGACACGTGGTGGGGGCAGGGGCTTGACAAGACAGGAGGGGGCCTCTTTGCACTCTCGCTGCTTAGAGCCTGCCTTACGAGGTTCTGTTGAGCCTCATTTTCAATGGTGTTGGGGAGAGGTGAACTGGCTACTCCCCACACCCAGAGGGGAGCAGAGAGACTCTTGGGGGGTTGCCCAGCCCACCCCACCTCTCTCCAGGGCCCCTACCTTATAATCAGGGTGGCCCTTCCTTAATGTTTATGCCAACATCCCAAACAGCCAGGCTGGGATGGTGAACTATAATTTATATCATTTTTTCGTATGGGTTATAGGCTCCAAAGGCTCAGACTCCTTCAAATGGGAACCACATTGAAGAAGGGGTAAACCAATGTTAAGAAATCTGGTCCCAGGAAGCCACCTGCTTCTCATTTGGGATTGCCTGGGTTTATTGTTTGCTTCCAAGGCCCAGCTGGATTTGAGAGACGGCAGGGCAGCCATGGATCACTGCCCTTGCCGGGCGTCCGTGCTGAGGCTGGGGCGAGCCTCCACTCTGAGCTCTCGGAGCCTCTGGCATGCCCCCACGTGGAGCTCTGCGGGGGAAGCTGTGTGGGAGCATGCTGTCTTTGTACTCGCATGTCCCCACGGAGCAAAGCCAGCTGGAGACAACCGAGTCTGGGCAAAGCCCCACGGCCTGTGTGAGGCCTGGCGCCCCAGGCTGGTTCGGGGGAGCAGGGTCTCTGGGCCTCCCCCAGCCCCTGCTTCTTGCAAACCGAGAGGCAGGGCAGCAAACAGGCCAGGAAGCTGGCTGCAGTGAAGATGAATGAACCGAAGCTCCTCACAACAACACGGATAGGTCTTAAACACATGGTGTTGGGCGAAAGAATACAAACGATGGACTCCATTCATACATGGTCCCAAACCAGGTAAAACTACTCTGTGGTGTTGGGGATAAAACTAAAGTTGGAAGGGGTTACCCTGGAGGTTGGGCTACTGGTAACCTTTAGTGAGGAGTTTGGTGGTTGGATGAGGCAAGGGGATTTCAGGCAGCAGTCCATGTTCTTGCTGGGTACAGGAGTGTTCTCTCCAGTCATTCACTAAGCTGTACAGGATTATGCTTTATGGACTTTCTGAGTGGGCTATTTTTCACAATAAAAAAGTCTAAGATGGGGACTTCCCTGGTAGTCCAGTGGCTAAGACTCTGTGCTCCCAATGCAGGGGGCCTGGGTTTGATCGATCCCTGGTCAGGGAACTAGATCCCATATGCCACAACTAAGACCCAGTGCAGTCAAATAAATAAATTTTAAAAAAGCCTAAGAGGGAATTCCCTGGCAGTCTACCCACAGAGTGGGTAGAACTCTGTGATTCCACTGCAGGGGCATGGGTTCAATCCCCAGTTGGGGAACTGAGATCTTGTGTGCCGCGTGATGCCGCCAAATGAAAAACAAAACCGCTAAGAAAACAAACCCAGGGCGTTGGACAGCTGAACGCAGCACTCACTGCCTTCTCTCCATCTCACTGTGTCCTTAGGGCCCTGAAACACCTCTCCCTCTTCTCTTCCCATCTAACCCCACCCCATGAGCGAGCGGTCAACCCCTTCCCACTTGTCCCACCCTAGCCTGGCTCAGGCCCAGGCCTTCCCTCATGCTGATGGCATCACAGGTGAGGGGGGAATTCCTGATTCCCAGAGGGCTCTGAAGCCCAGGGGGCTGCAGGGCCCCTTCTTAGTAGCCCCTATCTACTCTGGGCCTAGCCCAGCCCTGGGCTCTGGATGGACAGGCACAACTTTCCTGGCTCTGAGTGGTCCTACCTGGTCCCTCACCAGGTTAAGGGTGGCCAGAGCTGCCTGGACTTCCTGCCTCAGTTCTTGAGTGGATGGGTCAGAGGACCTCTGAGGATGACCTTCGGGTGACCTCTGGTAGCAGGTCTGCCCCGGCAACTTCAGTTTTCTCTGGTAGCAGGTCTGCCCCGGCAACTTCAGTTTTCTCTGGTAGCAGGTCTGCCCTGGCAACTTCAGTTTTCTCTGAGGGATGCCTTGGGGGGACCCTGGGTTCACTGTGAACCAAGAGCAATCTTTAGAACATGCATCATTTTTGAAGAAAAAAAATCTCTTATCTTCAAAGTTCTGTTTGCCCTTTTAAAAGGGAGGCATAGGAGAAAATGAAAAGTGTGGGGTTGGGGTTCCTAGGTGGGAGAGGCGGGCTCTGGGGACTGACTTCCTCCTCACTTGTAATTTCTGGGAGCAGATGAGTCTCCCCCCAGGGCACCCAGGCCTGGGGGGGAGGGCAGGGGGCTCTTCCGCAGACCTTTCAGGTGAGAAAACTTTCCATTGTTGCCTTATCTCGCGGCAATCCTTGCCTCGCTGCAACCACAGGTGTGCGCAGATCTGAGGCCCTGATCTGTTCCACTCGCTTTGTGCCAAGCAGAGCCGGGGACGCGAACCCCGGCATGAAACGGCACCCACAACCGCAAGGCCCGGTGTGCGCCCTCTGAAACTGTAGGTAAAGACAATTACCGGCAATTTCCACAGCACGAATTGTTTTCTGTTCAAAGGCCATGAAGGCATTCTCAGCAGCAGGCCCAAAATATAGTATTCCCACCGCATGCCGCCCTCATAATGTGCGATAAAAGCTGTGGTCTCTTTGTCCCGGCTCTTCCTTTTAACAGTCACCCCTTCAAGTCTGATGTTGAAACTGCTTTTTTCTTAATGTGTACTTTGATGGCCCAGATAACGCTCCATGATAAGGAACTGCCTTCAAAACCACTCACTGTACCTCGTGCTCACCAATAGGATGCGCGTCACAAGAGAAAATCAGGCGCCCGAACTTAGAACTTATGAGAAGTGGGATAGGAATGTGCTGAGTCTGTGAAATTCTCCTTTCTGCTGCCTGTATTGAAGATTTTGCAAAGAAAAAAAAAGAAGAAGCAGGCATCGATCAGAAGAGGAGAAAATGCTGGGCCATGTCCTAGAAAGAGCTGGTTCTCCTTGGCAACAATTGCCAAGACTCTGTGCACTCAGGTCCATCAGTTTTCCTTAAAGGAAAAGACTCTATGAGGTTGACGTTAATTGGCCTGAAGAGCTTGGGAATATCGGAGGTTTCCTGGAGGAGTCTTGAGGTTCTAGTCGAATCAGGCACTGCATCTCCCATGGTTGAGTGTCAGCTCTTTTGTTTGCTCATTGGTATTTGAAATCTACCAAGGGCTTCCCATGCATGGTTTTCCCTGGTAGCTCAGATGGGAAAGAATATGCCTGCAATGCAGGAGACCCGGGTTCAAGCCCTGGGTTGGGAAGATCCCCTGGAGAAGGGAATGGCAACCCAGTATTCATGCCTGGAGAATGCCGCGAAGAATCAGACACGACTGAGCAGCTAACACTTTCAACACTTTCACTAAGGGTTGCCCACACTGGAGTCATTACCTCAAAATCGGAACAGACCCTTACATTGTGTAAACGATGGTTGTTGTATTTTTTTAAAATATGGATTTATTTGGCAGCACTGGGTCTTTGTTGTGGCATGTGGGATCTAGTTCCCTGACCAGTGATCGAACCCAAGTCCGTGCATTGGAAGTGTAGATTTTCAGCCACTGGATCGCCAGGGAAAGTCACAATGCTTGGTTTTTTCAAAGCATTTTTCATGTCCATATCTCATCTCCCAACCCATGGAGAAGACTGACATCAATATGGTGGCCAGCACAAACCCCAGATAAGGTCAGAGTGACTAAAGTGACAAGGTCGAGAAGAGCTTCTCAGTGGAGGTCTCATAATCGTGTTTGCAAAATCCAGGCATTTTCAAAGGCTTCTAAGCTTTGGGCTAAAATCAGTGGCTTCCCAAGTCTCTTGGGAGAGACCATCTTGACTTCGTTTCTGGCTCTTGACTTCATTTTTCACTTTGCCTTGTTCCCAGGAACCCCAGAGATCCCCAGCCTGAGAAGCAGAGGGATTAGAAATGGCTTGGATCAGACAAACCGAAGCTTGAATCTGGTTAACCAGCTGTGTGACTTTTGGTGAGTTACTTTACCTCTCTGGACCTCTGTTGCTCCATCGGGAAAATACAGATGTCATGGTGAAAGCGCTTCAGGGTCCTTAGTAGGCATGACAGTCTGTGATTTTGTGATTCTATGAATTACCCTGAATTTGCATAAGCATAACATCTTATAGGTTTCGAAGCACTTTCACATACCTTTTAGCAGTTCATTTGATCTCGGCCACAGCTCTGTGGGGTAGGCAGGCAGGCGTGCCATATTTTCACATCCCCATTTGAGAGATGGAGAAATCGAGGTGTGGAAAGGTTAAGTGGCTAGCCGTAGGTACTCTGGCAAGCTGGTGCTGGCCAGGACCTGAGTAGACATGTGGAGATTTCTGGAAGGTCTCATGGGCAGCCCCTTCAGTCAGGGATCCCGTGATATCCTGGAGGGATGAAGAAGTGCCGGAGTTTCAAGGTCTGGCTCAGAGTGCCGGGCCCTCTGGCCCTCCTTATCATGTGCAGCTCCAGTGGCTGGATCAGACAAACTGAGACCCACACAGAACAGCTGGCAGCATTTTAGGAGATGCTCTGGGAGGCAGCTACGAAGGCCTTTCCGGGGCGGAGGCAGGGGAATCACCGCTCTGGCAGACTCTTCCTACCACAGCCCCTTTCCTATGTGCCTCGGATCACACAGGTTTCCCCTACTGGAATCACCTCATTCCTCCTGCAAGTCAAATCCTTAGCTATCCTCAAAGCCCAGACCAAAAAGGCCTCCTTTGAGCCAAGTGCTCTGCATACTCTTTCTTATTTAATCCTCTCTGTTGTCTCACCTATAAAATGGGAATAGAAATACCCACAGCCAACATCATTTATCCCCCAATTTGCAGATGGGGAAAGTGGGGCTCAGAGGGTTAAGCCGCATGCCTGAGGTCACCCAGTTGAAAGGGGCTGGAGACTGGATTTGAACTTTATGACGTAAAATGGTCACAGTTGTAGGCATCATGCGGCCCTGACTTCTTTATGCCTTTCACAAAGCACTTGGGGAGCACCCCTCTGTCTTCTGAGCATTACATCCTCGCTGAGTGTGTGTTCCATGGATCTCACTTGTCTCCTCCTCTGAACTCTGAGCCTTGCAAGTCAGAGGTTGTATCCTTTTTTTCAGCACCATCCGCTCCACACACCTGCCGGGCACATAGTTGGCCTTGGGAAGCCCTTGCTAGTTGAAGGCTCAGAGTGAAGGCACCTGGTGTGTGGAGGGGGCCTGTAAGCCTGGAGGCTGCCTTTCTGTCCATCTGGTCCCACAGGGCCAGGCTACTGAATGCTCCAGCGCTCTCTGGCCTAGCACTTACAGGATGGCATTGCAGTAGGTTAGCCCAGTTTGTTTTTTTCACATTGCCCACAAACTTGCTCCTGATTCTTTTAACTATATAGAATAATGTGCTATTTAAAAGACAGGGTCAAGTTTGGACACTCTGTCCACTATCCACTGTGTGACATGGGGCAAGTGACTTCATGTATTTTGTGAATCTGATTCCATCCGTCATAAGGTGCACCGTATTTTACGTCCCAATAAGAAAGGAAAAAACCCCTCCCTGCCAGTTAAGCTATGTTAAGCCATCAACTTTAAGATATATCTCAATTTCAGAGATATTAAGACTTGTCTAGACACTTCACACAAAAAAATTCAAATGGCCGATAAGCATGTGAAAAGATGTTCAACATTGTTAGTTGTCAGGGAAGTGCAACTTAAAACCACAGTGAGATACCACTACCATATCCATCAAAATGGTTTTAAAAAAATCCCAAACTGACTATATTAGGTGTTGGCAAAAAATGAAACAGCTGTATTGCTTCTGGGGACTGTAGAACCACTTTGGAGAATAGCTTGTCAGTTTCTTGAGAAGTTAAACATATACCTGTTATATGATCCAGACACTTGACATCTAGATATTTACCCAGAGAAATGAGAATTTATGCATACAATGACTTTTGCATGAATGTTTATAACAAACTTATTTTATAGTAGCCCCAAACTGGAAACATCCCAAATATCTACCAGAAAGTGAATGGATCAACAAATTATGGTACATCCATTCAATGGACTAGTACTCAGCAGTTAAAAGTAGTTAACTATTGCTATCTGTAGCAACATGGATAAATCCCACAATGATTATGCTGAATGAGGAAATCCTGATAAAAGAGAAAACATTTTGTATGTTTTGACTTATATAAGACTCTAGAAAATGTAAAGGAATCTATATTAACAGCAACTATGTCTGCAGGTGCCAAGGGCTGGGGTGGAAGGAGGGAGGGATGGATTATGAAGAGGTATGAGGACTCTTTGCGGGGGTGATGGGAATACTTGTTAAGTTGCTTGTGTGGGTATAAACAGGTCAGAACTAACTCATCGTACACTCTATGACTATTGATTTATTTTTGGCTGTGCTGGGTCTTCATCGCTGTGTGGGCTTTTGTCTAGCTGCGGTGAGCAGGGGCTGCTCTCGAGTCGTGGTGTGAGGCCTTCTCACTGCAGCAGCTTCTCTTGCTGTGGAGCACAGGCTTCAGGGCACTCAGGCTTCAGGAGTTGTGGACCCCGGGATCTAGAGCACAGGCTCAGCAATTGTGGTGCACAGGCTTAGCTGCTCCTTGGCATGTGGTGTCTTCTCGCATCAGGGATCGAACCTGTGTCTCCTGCATTCACAGGCGGATTCTTTACCCCTGAGCCACCAGGGAAGCCCCATTGTACACTTTAAACATATACACTTTATACCTCAAAGCTGAACAATATGTGCATTTAGGAAAGCATGCTTTCCTTGTCTGTGACCCGGGAAGCTTGTTATGAGGCTTCAGTGAGATGAGACATTAGCCCAGGTTGTGGGGCCTTACCTCTGCAGGTGTCTTACGGTTTTTATTTCACCATGAGGTCCCTTTAGAGACAGAGGCCTGGGGCTGGGACAGGCTGAGGACCCTGCCCAAGGTCTGATGGGGAGTTGGTACAGTGCAGGCCAGCATTCCCAGTCAGAGTGTGTCCCCACCTCATGTGTCATACACTGGTCCAACCTCAAACAGAGAGAAAGGAAACAGTCCCAGTCTCCAAGGGCCTGAGAATGGTCTGGCTGGCAGGAGCCAGGGCCACCGGTGACTGTGACTTGAGAAGCCCTTGGCATCTGATGTTGGGTCCTTCTCGAGGGTGACTGACTGCACCGCGCAGGGTGGATGTCGCCCACCCTGCCGCCTACCCCTGTCAACACAGTGGTCCTTCTACGCAGCCTGCGCAGGCCGGGCCCCAGGCCCCCTGCCAGCGAGTGATTCAAAGCCACTCTTCACAGCAAGTGTGAGAAGCCCCCACCGCAGGCCGCCTTCGCCTTTGGGGCAGGCCAAGATTCAACATTACTCACAGCTTCCAGTACCTGCCTGAGTTCAAACAGGAAGCCTGGTTTTTCCTCTCGTGTCAACAACAGCCTTTCTTTCTCTCTTCTATTCTGGCCTCTGTGCTGTCTTGCGGAGAGGGTTTCTTGGGGGTGAAGGTCTGAGGCAGCAGTGAGCCCCACCAGCAGATGCCTCAGCCAGCACCTCCTTACCTGGGAAGGCCTGGAAGAGGGTTTTGTGCCAGTAGGGTGTGAAAATGACCCAGCTCATCTACAGCTTTGTAAACCCAGGGAGCACCTAGCCAGGCACATAGTAAGCCTTCCATTTATTTTTGTTCAACTGATCTAGATTGAAATGTAGTACTGCGTGTCACCAAACAAATGCAGTTCCTCCTAGGTTCCTGGCTCAACAAATAGCCTCCACCTGCTCCCTTGGCCCAGACATGCTGGAGACACCGCTCTGGCTTCTCTACTCCCTCATTCCTCACCCCGAGTGGACACCGAGGGCATTGGTCCTTCTTCCTCAATGTTCCCAAATCCACCCCCTCCTCCCCACACTGTCTGTAGTGGTTCCTTTCCGGCCCCTGTCGCATGATGCTATCACTTTCTCCTCTGTCTCCTCTGGCCCCATTCTACCCACAGACCACACAGTGGCCAAAGCCATCCTTTCTAGATACTTGAGGGACCACACCACAAATGGACCCTCTCTGCTCACTATCCTTGCACACACTGTGTGGCACATCTAAGCCCCTCCTGTGGTCTACAAGGCCTATCTCTCAGAAAGCATCCTGCTCCCAGGACGTTCTCTGTGCTGAGAATACTCAGCCACTTAGGGCTCCCTAAGCAAGCTGTAGTCCTCCTGAGATTTGCACAATGTTCTGAGCAGGCCCCTGCCTGCCCCTTCTCTCTCCCTTCCAGTGCAACTACTTCCACCCTCTAGCTGAATTTCCATCCACCTCCCCACGACCCATTCCCCTTCGTCTTTCCTGTGGAACAGCGAGTTGATTTCCCTCCTGTGCACATGTGTGTGTGTGCAGCTTTGGTTTTGCATGCATCAACCATGTGTATTTCCAGCCTCTGAGGGCAGGGGTCCCATTTGGCTCTGTGTGTGCAAGCCAACCCAGCCTTGTTGGATCAAGGCGAGTCCAACGTGGAGCAGGCTCTCGGCAGGTATGTGCTGAATAGCCATCCCTCTGTGCACTTCGTAATCTCAGGAGATCTGATTCTAGAAACAGCTGGCACATGGTAGTGACTCCCCACTTCTCCCTTGCCCCCTGCCCCAGGCTCCCTGATACAGCTTGCTTTATAAGGAACACATCCCACGGCAGTGATAATTAGGGCCAGGGGGAAAGGGTCTCTCTCTGGAGGGAATTTCTATGGACATTGAATATCTTTTGTGTCCTTCTCTAGCTTTAGCTGGAGATCTGACCTGTGGTCAAGGCTGGAACACTCAGATGACCATATTGTATTTTTTGCCAAGTTCTGAAGACAGTATACCTGGATTCCCAGAGAAAAGGGCCTTCCTGGGTTGAATGGGTGCTAGGAAGACAAAAGGGAGGCCTAGCTCTTCTCTGTGGTCATTGTGGAAATCAAATGAGTGAATATCCATGAAGTTCTTAAACAGACATGAACACACAGTTAGTGCCACAGGTCTTGATGGTGATGATGATGATGGGGGTCTGTGGGCATCCCACTGTGGTGGGAAGTGGACTGACCCAAGTATACAGGAGACAGGCCCCAAGCACTGGGGCTGGCCACACACCGCTCTCTCATGAGGGCTAGGCTCTGAGAGGGTTGAGGCTGCATCTGACACGTGCTAGATGCTCAGTTCGTTGAGAGGAGTTACAGGTTTTGTGTGTGTGTGTTTTTTAGACCAGGTGGTGGTAAAGTTTTTTCTTCCTGTGTCAGGGAAGGAAGACTTTGTGGGACAATTGGGAGTAAGGAAGTTTAAGGATGAATGTTTAATCTCTTAAAAGGAGAAATACTTTATGTGTTTATTCATGAGGGTAGTGCTAATTAGTAGTAATTATTTTCTGGTCATTAAGTCAAACCTCCCCTTGTACCCACACAGACCCAAATTGGGCTAAGAGCAAGGAAACTGCATTTTTTTTTTTTTTAAACAACCTGATTCAGCTCCCAGAGGGTCAGGTTCTTGTCTCTCTCTCGCCCTTTCAGCCTCCTGCACCTAATGGCCTGCGGCTTTGGATGGGATGGTGCCCTGTAGAGGCCATCTGGTCCAGCCCTCTGCCTCAGTAATGAACGTACACGGCCACCCTGGAGGAAAGGCTGTGTCTTGAATACTTTGAAGACTGCCATGCTGCAGGAACTCTCAGCCTGGGTCTGGAATCCCTCCCCCACAACACAGCTCCTCTTTGGACCTGATCCCACTGGGTGCCAGGTTGTGCTGGGTGCTGTGGAGAGAGCAGTGAGCCAAACTGACTCCACCCTGCTCACACGGGGCTCAGAGGCCAGGAGGGGAGATGGGGAGACAGACATTGCACAAGCATGAGACATACATAAACATCATGGTGACATGTGCTGAGTACAAAGGAAATGTCCGAGATGAAAATGAGGCTGACCTCAGCAGGAAATGACCTGGTCTGAGGGACTCAGGAAGGCCTCCCTGGGAAGCGGGTGTTCAGCAGAGATCTTAAGTGAGTGTTGGAGTTATCTGGGTGAGTGGGGGTTTGGGGAGAGAGTGCAGCAGGCCTAGCAAACAGTGTGTGAGAAGGTCCTGGGGCCTGCTGAAAGAGGGAAGAGGGGCTGCTTGATTGAGCAAGGTTACAGGGGATCTAGAGGAGAGGCAGGGACCTGCCCATGAGGGCGCCCTTAGCTCTGTCTAGGTTTCCATGGGAAATGAGCCTTGGTCGGTGGACAGCATGTGTGAAGACTATCTCATACCAAATCTTCATTCATCTGCTTGGCATTCCCTCCATGGCCCACGATTCTTTGCAGGGTGGGGAAAGCTTTGTTCTTTTCCAGGTTTCTTGAGAAAGAGGAGCCAGTACTCCCACTGCTGAGTGGTTGGGGTTAAGGTTGCTACAGACGCCTTACAGGTTAGGTTGACCAGGCCTAACCAGCAGTCCCTTGGGCAGCAAACCCCGTGCCTTCCACTTGCATGATCCAGCACTTCCTCCTTCTCCTCCAGGTGCCCTGGTGACTGTGAACCAGGGCGGGACCTCTGGCATCTAATGTCTACCCAGGTTCTGTGCTGACTCCAGCTTACAGGACACCCCCACCTCAGTATGCTTGCCTCTGGAGTTAATTTCCTTTATCAAATCAGATTAACTTCAAAGTTTTTATTCATTCTTTTAATTGACTTAATGCTTCATTCTTCCTAATTAACAGATATTGGGAGAGAAAATAAACAGTATGGTTAGAACTAGAGTTCTCCCATTCCAGGCCCCTCCCTGGAGGGTATCAGTCTTTTTCAATGCATCTTCATTTATATGTATATAAATACACAGACATAATTTTGTTTGGTGTATGTTGGATTGTTTTTAAGTTTTTTTTAATTGAAGAATAGTTGATTCACAATGTTGTGTCAGTTTTTGGTGTATAGCAAGTGATTTCGTTATACATATATATTATTTTTCATATTCTTTTCCATTATGGTTTATTACAGGATATTGCATATAGTTCCCTGTGCTATACAGTAGGTCCTTATTGTTTTTTTTCTGTATAGTAATGTTTATCTGTTAATCTCAAACTTCTAGTTTATCCTTCCCACACCCTCTTTCCATTTGATAACCATAAGTTTATTTTCTACATCTGTGAATCTCTTTCTGTTTTGTAAATAAGCTGATCTGTATCCTATTTTAGACTCTACATATAAGTGATATCATACTTATGTCTTTGTCTTTCTGTCTGACTTAACTAGTAAGATAATTTCTATGTCCATCCATGTTGCACAAATGGCATTATTTTATTCTTTAGGTCTGAGTAATATTCTGTTGTATATGTACTCTCATCTTCTTTGTCCATTCATCTCTTATCATAGTTTCTCTGGATATACCTAGGAGTAGGATTGCTGGATCCTACAGCAAGTCTATTTTTAGTTTTTGAGGAACCTCCACACTGTTTTCTCTAGTGACCGCATGTCCTTTTTTTAAAAACATAAGTCTGAGTTCTTTGTTTTATTTACCAACTTCCTTTTTCACTTAATGGTACGTCTTGGAAATTTTGGCACATCAATATATGCAGTCTTACAATGTTCCTTTTTAATGACTGCCTAATATTCCAAAGTATATATTCCTATGGGTTTTTTACTCATTCTTTCACTGATGAACATTCATTTACATTGTTTACAGATTTCACTATCACAAGCAAATCCTTGTAGGGGACTCTCAGTCTAGCTCAAAGCAAGGCTATCTGTCTTAATTGGTGGTGAGATTTCCGTCAGAGAAGGCATTCAAGTAAAAGGTGAAATAGTGTCTTCTTCAGCCAAGAACAGTGATGCTTAAACTTTCCTGTGCATGAGAATCACCTGAAGAGCTTTTAAGATACAGATTTCTGGGATTGCTGAGCCAGAGCCCCAGAGTTTCTGATTCAGGCTGTCTTGGATGGACCTGAGAATCTGCATTTCTAACAAGTTCCCAGGTGAGGCTGCTGGTTTAGGAACCTTAATTTGAGAATCATTGCCTCAGGATGGTTGGCTTCTCAGCCTCCACTCACTCACTTGAAGAGTCATCTTTCCCTTGGAAACAATGTTCAGGAAGAATTCACTCTGGGCCCCTCCCTCTACTAGGAAGCAGGTTTTCTACCTAGCATCCCTCTGGGAGGCAGGGCCCTTCAGGGCTCTGGTAATGGGTCCAGAGGTCTGGCAAGCAAGGCTGTTGGGCAGATGTTCCAGCTGGGGCTGTGAGTCCCAGGGCCTCTTGACTAGACACAGCCTGCAGCACCAGACTTTTCTGGGTACCATCCCCCCCACACACACTCTCGACCTCACCCCATTCTTCCCTGCGGAGTCTAATGAAGAGCTGAGACTGGCGGTGAGCTGTTTACACAGCCTGATTGGGAAGTGCTCTGGGGTTTGCATAAAAGAAACAAGTGGAGACTACATCCCCAGAGAGGGTCTTCTAAAGGTCTTGAGGTTTCAGGACCCCAAGGCACTCTTTGTTCCCAGCTGGACTGCAGGAGGTCACACTGTGGTTGGGGGAGAGCCTCTCTGGGGTGGGAGTGGGGAGACCAGGCACCTGGACCCTAGGAACTAAAAAGCATCACCCTTGTCCGACCTTCCTGGTAACTTTTTGAAGAGGACACTTCTGTGCTTAAAGGTGGTCAAGTTGCAAGTTGAGAGTCACACCCCCATGGGCATTTGGCCCATACCTCCTCCCAGAGCTAGATTTTGATACCCTGCAGCTCACCAGCTCATACTCTTTGACCCCAAGTTTTTTGTTCATGAGCATCAGCAGTCTGGCTCATCAGAAGGAAGCTTCCTCTGAGTTCAGTGTTCGAAGGTAATAGAAGGGAGAAGGGAAGATGCCTCAGCCACTGTGCCCCAAATCCACTGGGAGGAATGGGAGAGCTGCTCCAGGCCCCCCTTATTCATGGGGGCAAAGTTTAGACCCAGTTCTCATCCCAGGCAGGAATGTCAGTTGAGCCGGTATGCCGCACTCTCTTGGGTTATGTTTAAGGTTTTGAATATTCTATCTGATTTGGAACCCTGGCATCTAGCTAATGCTGAGAGTCTAACAGATCCTTGAATAAATAAACAAATATCTTAGACGGTATTTGCAGGATGGGCTCAGGCTTCACATCCCTTGGATTTGAGGTTAGATCCTAAGGGCAGCTATTCAGCTATTCCGCGCAGTGGCTGTGAGGGGCCGGGTCCCATCACAGAAACGATCTCTACACAATCTTAGATATGAAAGGAGCCCTGGGGCAGCTCTGCCTTCTAAGCCGGGCGTGCTCTGGAAGGGGCTGACAGCACAGAAGAGTGTGGAGGGGTGGACTGGCTTCCGGCTTCCCAGGATGGGTGCTCTCGGGGCGCAGCGGAGGTCTGGTGGCGTGCACTCAGGGCAGAGGCAGGCTCTGTCCAGGGTCCCATCCCCCCTCCACCCGCCTTCTCTTGCAAACTCTGCAGTAATACTGGAACTGGCGGGGTAGGGAGGGAGAGTTTTTTCATCCTTTCAGACTCAAAACTTAACTTCTCATTTCTCTCAAGATACCCGCTCCTAACCCAAAAAGCGAAAGCGAGGCTGGGGGAATTCTGCTTGGTGGAAAAGCTCAGGGTGTTACTTTTGGTCTGGGTGGGGCCAGTCTTCCGCGTTCACAAGTCGCTCCTTGCAGCGAAAGTGCCCCCGACTTAGGGCACCGAGGGTCTGTGGGTCGAGTCCCTGAGCTGGGCTGTGGGGCAGGGGCACGGAGGACCTCCACCCCGCCCTCCCCAGGGGCTGGGCGAGGAGGCTGTCCGGCCCCCGACATAGCAGTGGCGGTCCTGGGCCACCAGTGAGTTCCCCGGCTCCGGCTCCGTGGGAAGGAGCGCATCCTCTGGAGGCTTCCCTTTGTGGGTCTCCAAGCCAGGCCCCTTCCTCTGCCCCTCTAACAGAGCGCTTTGAAGTGGCCGAGTTCTCAACCCTGCTCCCCAGCGCGGCGCCGCTCCCCGCTGTGCCCCACCTTGGCCGTGGGCTAGTGTTTTACTTGGGAATGCGCCCCTGGGCACCCGCTGGGCGCCCTTTGTAAATTCGTCCTCAGAGAGGTCCCACCAGGGGCCTCTGGGGGGACTCGACTCCGACTCCGGTCCCAGGGCTGGAGCCTGTAGGCTTAGCTTCCCTCCCCATCCCCAAAAGCTCTTCCAGGGTTAGGTACCTCCTTCCGACTTAGGGTTGCACAGTCTGAGCCCCTACAGGTTCCTCTGAGGAAAGTGGAATCAGCTGGGCAGGACTGAGGAGTCCGCTGGGGCAGGGCATCCACCAAGTTTTCAGTGAAAATCCAACTGGCTATTTGCAACATGTTTGTATCAGGGCTTAAGAACTGTGCAGACCCTTTGATCCAGCAACTCCATTGCTGCTAAGAAAATAATCATTCACTTCCGTTCAGTTCAGTCACTCAGTCATGTCCGACTCTTTGCGACCCCATGGACAGCAACACACCAGGCCTCCCTGTCAGTCACCAACTCCTGGAGTTTACTCAAACTCATGCACACTGAGTCGGTGATGCCATCCAACCATCTCATCCTCTGTCGTCCCTTTCTCCTCCCGCCTTCAATCCTTCCCAGCATCAGGGTCTTTTCCAGTGAGTCAGTTCTTCGCATCAGGTGACCAAAGTATTGGCGTTTCAGCTTCAGCATCAGTCTTTCCAATGAATATTCAGGACTAATTTCCTTTAGGATGGACTGGTTGGATCTCCTGGCAGTCCAAGGGACTCTCAAGAGTCTTTTCTAACACCATAGTTCAAAAGCATCAATTCTTCAGTGCTCAGCTTTCTTTATAGTCCAGCTCTCACATCCATACATGACTACTAGAAAAACCACAGCTT